ATATGAGTTTGGATCGACATGAATATGTGAGTAAATTATGATCCAAATAAACTCGACCATCATCCACCATTTTAAAGACTCACTATCTTCTGATGTCTTTTTCTGTTTAATAAATGCCTCATAATTTCTGATCACATCGTCAGTAATCCAAATTACATGTTGAAGATTTTGCAGTTGTACTTTAATGTATTTCCTATCTTCTCCTCTGTGCACCTGTTTAGATTTTGCAATAGCTATCTCAATCTGAGTTTAGGACAGTATACAGAAACCACTTCGCTCTCCATTTCCTGCCACTGTCTTCTTTACCTTCTTCAGCAGTTCTGAAACCTGAGATCTAATGTTTTATTTTTTCCAACCTTATGTTTTATTGTTACCAAATTCTGATTTAGCATGTCTAATTATCTGAAAGCATAAAAACAAGTTTCAGTTATTCTTACAATAGCCTTATGATTTTTGGCTCAGAAATTCTGTGTTGTGTATTTACATCTTTAAGGCATAAAATATTAATTTAATCTATCTTTTAAGTAATGAAAATTAAACTAATTTTATTTTTTGGAAAATAAAGGCCATTTAATATTACAATTAAAACATTGAAGAAATATTGTATGATTATTCCTTAAAAATAAGGTTTTAATCATTTTAGTAGTAGTAGTAGCAGCCTATTACCTACATTCTACTGAACAATAGTAATATATTTCTGCCGCAATGCCTTCAAGTTAAACCGTTAACTTTTATTTTGACGGGTTGCCGTGAATACCTTTACATTTCTGTGTGTATATGATATGATGATAGTTTTACTCAAATGAAACGGTCAAATGCTCATGAAGTGACTCTCAGAGCAGTTCTGGAGATGTTGTTCATGTATTTATGTCCTCCTTTAGTGAGACAGCAGATGCTAAAATCACAGCAAGCCCACGTCTGCGCCATTCATTAACAGAGACACGAAGAATTCATATTTAAATAGTCGTTTTGCGGCTTAATATTTACAAATACTAGTGGGAGTGGGAGTGTGCTCACTTGTGTGTGCACGCACGTGTGTGTGTGTGTGTATGGAGACCGAAATGACATGACATCGTGTAAATAAGATAAATAACATAAGGCTATTTAGTTTGTTTAATAAAAGAACAAGGTATAGACCTGTTCTATCGGAAAGGTAACTTTAAATGACTTCTGTTGTGATCTGGCGCTATAGAGAAAATATAATTAAATAAAATTAACTTGACCTTCAAGGGGAGCGGGGGTTGCCCCCCTAATATAATGGCAGGGGAAACACTGAACTGATTTCTAAGTTTTGTCTGGAGGTCATGGTATTGGATGTCCTGCTTTTGTTATTCATCCTTAACAGTGAAAAGGATTATGACCTTCTCCCAAGCAGCTCTCCTCAAAAACCATCTAAAATTTATTCACTATATCTTCTCTTCAAAAAACTGCATTCCTGGTATGACTAGTAGTAAAGCGTAAGGTCCACGAGAAGACAGACACATACAGAATTGTATTTTTTGTTTAATTTCCTCTGTGGAGAGCCAAGAGCTAAACCAGTTAGCACTGTTGATCACAGCCTGCTCCCTGTCCACCACTCCAGTATCTACTGTGATCTTCATCAGGGGGGCTGGAGAGGCATCTCACCGACTCTCCTCTCTGCCAAATATCATGTGTTCTACTGCAGTCTTCTCAGGCACAGACATGCCCAGCAGGACAAGTATCAGTTCTGATGCAATAATTAGATCACTTTCATCTAGAAAAAAATGGAATGATTAGGTGTTTAAGGCAAAGTCATTATGATATCAAAATGAAGGCAATTAACTTTCTTTTATAAATTACACACTTCACATAATAATTGAAAATACAGTATATATAGAATACAATAAAAAAAAATCATACTCACTGGAAGTATATATCTTTTCTTTTTCTTGTGTGTCCTGTTGTGTCAGAAAAGAATGATTCATAAGATATTTATTTAATGGAACATACAGTAAATGCTCTGAATTACTTTACCATCATTTTCCATTCTGTAAAATCCTGTAACTGGGATGTTTCACTTGACTGAACACAGACACTTGATTAGTACACATTATGAAATGTGCAATATGACCCTGGTTAGTTTAGTTTGTCCACATATCTGTTTATTATAACAAAGCACTGCTTATAGAAACTAACTAACTGCTGTGTATATGTTTGGAGCTAATATACAGCAATTATTTAATGCAGAGTAGGCTCTCTCTAAATAAGCATGAAGTACATTATCAAAAGTTTTGTAATGTTAATGATGACATTTTTGCACTTAAATTTTCTATTTATTTAGATAAAAATGAATTCATTACATTTACTGTTTAATATGTATCTTTTATGCTGAAGGACTGGATACCTGTGGCTGCAGCCATTGATGGATTCTGGTCAGAGCTTCTCCATTCTTCACACAATTCAGGAATCCTTCATCCGCTTTGAACAGATAGTCGACTGTGAGTGTATTCACCCTGCTCACAAATCTGCTGTTGTCTGGCACAAACTTCTCTGGGTCAAATGTGTGATGAAGCACCATGAAAACAGCTGGTTTAGACTCTGTTAATAGTTGTTATAAGTAATAATTGTTCAAATGAATACAATAACTTGAGATCATTAAATAATAGTATATAACACAACAGCACATTACCTGAGAGAGTGTTAAGTTCATTTAGTGCAGCATCAATGTCAGTTCCTGTCCTTGAAACAATAAAGCAGAAAACCAAAATGGCATCACACTCCTCCACGGTGAGCACCTTTAGACCTGATATTTGTTGAAAGATATTTGTTATGATGTCCTCTTTAGGCTTGAATGTCTTCCCAGGTGAAAGGATGACATTTTTTTTCCTTCAAGAGGAAGAAAACTATTGGTTAAGGTAATATAACTTAATTCATATAAGTCATAGTCATCTCATCCTAAAAGTCTTACATGTTTATATATTTTCCCCCAATCTAATTAGAAACAGAGTCTTTAGAAAAAAGCACAGAAACTCTACAGTTATTATTACCAGTAAATCGTAGGACGTTGGTCTTTTGGTTCTTCAATGAAGTTCACATCACTGTCTGTCTTAGGTTTATGATCCATTTCAAGTTTAGTTCTGAAATTGACAGTAGGCCTACACACATCATGATTGTTCTAAACATGTAGTGTTTGTTAGCTAGCCTTTATATCGCAATATTTTACATTTTCATAGTCTGGGTCTTGGACAAGGTAAAAACATTAAAATATACTCAAAAATTATTCATGTGATTTAATTATGCGACGTCATTGAAGATGAATAGCGTATTTTCATGAAAAAATGTCCACTAGATGTCGCTACACTATCATGAAATATTGCCTTTTTAACAGTCCAAATATCAGCAAAGACAAAATACAAGCGCTTATGTAGTGCAGAATTACATTGTTGCGTTTGTATAAAGCTAATAGTATTACATAGCTTACAATACTATTCAAATATTTGTTGTACTTTAATGAATGAAAAAGAATTTGAGGTACAATAATAAAGTAACCGAATTTATCTTTTGTGAGAATCCATATACTATTATAACACATGATAACTTATTAGCTACTATATTTATTACTGTAGAGTCTATTTAATAGCAAAAAGTAGACTACAAAATACACAAACCTGTGAGCACCTGCTTGACCCAAGTTTACTCTTCTGATAAGGTTTTATTTATCCATAAACACAATTTCAATTGGTGTTTAACTCATCCCACTTGTAAAATCAAATAAACACATTCATAAATAATAGCCAATGTAAAGTTCATTCGAATCTTTCAGCGGGATATTTAAAAGTCATGAAAATACATGAAGGACATACATAATTGTTTCTTGCTGTGTTTACAGTATCTTCACAAGGCTGAGATTGTTGCATTGAAGGCCAGTTGGGGCCCCCTAGTGGGCTTCGATAAGAATAGGTCGAGAACTAACGGTTTCTAATAAATAATCCTGCAGTACCGGAGACTGCAGTTTCAGGACTGCATTTTTAGGACCCTTTTTTTTGTGACAGCGCCACCTAGCCAATTCTACTGCTATTTCAGACCGGATTCAGCCTCTGGTACTGCGGGAGGATCATTAGCCAGACGATCATTGCACAGCAGCTCGCTAGAAGTCAGTAGTGCACAAGCGCACAATTGAGAACCACCACAAATCAACAGAAGAAAAAGACTGGTTCTTCTCATTTTAAACTTCCGGGCAATCAATATATGAAGTTGAAAGGTGGTCAGTAGATTGGGGGGATTGAAGTTTTCAGTATCAAAGACTCAATATATGGTTTTTACAAAGAAAAAAGAAAATGGAACAAATGACTCTGAAATTATGATCAATTGTTAGAAAGAGTGACAGAGTTCAAATATCTTGGATTAATTTTTGATGAGAAATTAACTTGGAGGAGACATTAAGAAAATTGAAAACAAATGCAAAGGAGTAATAAATTGCATGACTTCGATAGCTAAGTATGGATGGGGAGCAAGAAAAACTGCACTGTTACATGTATACCAAGCCATACATTCTAGTATAGATTATGGGTGTGCAGTACAGGGGCGGGTCTAAAGGGGTGGCACGTTGTGGCACGATCAGAGAATTCGGGTACATTTAAAATCTCACGCGCTGCCGCTTATGTCATACAGTAATCGGCAGCGCCGCTTGAAGTAGAACACACCTACTCACTGTCTGGTTCACTGCCAATCATTTCCCGTTTATTTACGACGCCATTGGATTAGAGTGCTGTCAATTTCACAACTCAAACAGGAGAAGCGTGATTTCGCAGGCTGCAGACCACGTCTCTGTTTAAGACGAAAATAAGTTTAAGGTGAAGTGACAAATTGTCTGTATATTCTACAGAATTAACTGCTATAATAGTAGGATTGCAATGGGTATAGAACAGATTAAGCCAAATAAGACTGTAATTTGCTCAGATTCTTTATCAGCTCTTAAAAGTATAATGTCTACAAAAACTGACAGAGAAGACCATTACCATTTTTTTTTTGACAGCAATACAGATTCATCACCCATGAGCGTAATATATACAGTAGGTGGCGGTAAAACTCCTAAGGAGTGAACGGCCATTAAACAAAAAGAAGAAGAAGTAGTAAACTTCCGGGCATGGCGGAGAAGAAAATAGCCGGTAAGTGTGCTTTCCATTTAAACTTCTGTAGCCTATCCTTAGGCTGATAAGGCAAAAAATAAATTAATTAATCGCAATGGTTGTCAATCTGTTTCCAACCCTAAATATGCGGCAAAACATGTAAACAGTTTTGCCATGCATTGCTATTTTCTGATCATGTAAATCCAGCTGTAGTTCACATTCGGACGACTTGTCCTCCTCAGTCCGCTCGCAGGATCCCAACCAGCGGCGCGTGCTGGACAGCGCGACGCGCCAGCGCCGTTTAACCCGCCAGCTCGAGGCTCTCGAGAAAGACAACTTCCAGGACGACCCTCACGCGAGCCTCCCGCAGCTCGTCAAGCGGCTGCCGCAGTTCGACGAGAGCAACGAATCCGGTAACGAATCGAGTCGTTGTTATGCATCAGTCCCTATCTTTTTGCTCGCATTAAATCCTTCTTTGCGAACTGTAACCGACTCTGACAGTTGTGTTGTCTGTATTGTTCACGCCTGATGAATTTTGATTTTTCAAGGCAAGCGGAGGAAGAAGACGAGGGGTGATCATTTTAAACAGAGGTTCCGCAAAAACTTCCAGACTCTTCTGGAGGAGGAGGTAACGCACCTGTCACTCACTAGTACTGCGTGCTGAGAAACATCCAGAGGGAAACTCTCGCACACTTTTCTTGGGTGAATGTCATGAAACGTTAAAAACAGCATGACGCATTTAGAAAAAACAATAACATAAAAAAACATAATCCTTTAAGACCATTAAAATATTATTTTTGACAGTTAAGCACAATTCTCGTTACTGTTATTCTGAAAAGGCTGTGATTTAAAGTGTAAAGTACTCGTACTCATAATTAGGGCTGCACAATTAATCGAAATTAAATCGCAAAGGCAATAAATCGCGATTAGGCAGAAACTGCGATTGTCATGTGTATCTTTCAGTGAAGCTCAGTTCTGTGATCAGTAGTAAATCTCCATACGAAGGTCAGAGACCGCTCTCGAGCTGAAAATCCAAATATGCCCCGAAGAAGAAATGCAGGAAATGCCTATGCTGCAGCTGAATAAACAGAAGATTTAACTGCTTTCATTGATTCAACGTGACTAATAAACACACGACTACGGCAATATATGGTTTATCAGAGGTCTTATTATAATTTTCATCATAATAAAGTATATCTATAATGAAATGCTAATCAACATAGTCATTATCACTGCTTAGAATACAATTAAATATTGTGTGCCTTAATTATTCTGTTTAAGAAGCTACATCATATCGCAAAAGGATATATTTCAAACACTGGAATGACGTTATGAAGTGAGTTTGGAGTAAAAACATGTTATTAAATGTGGTATTTTCACGTGCTCTCAGATGGAGCAGCATTTACTACACAGAGCCGTCCGTATTTCTCTATGCAAAATCAGGTTCATAATAGCAGACGATATAATCGTAGGATTATGAAATCGACGAAATCGTTCGCGATAATGACAGCTTTGCGTATGTTCTCAGTGAACTAAGGCTCTGTGTAGTAAATGCTGCTCCATCTGAGAGCATGTGAAAATACAGAACCGGCAAAATGTGCATGACAATTGCGATTATCGTGCAGCCCTACTCATAATTAATGTTAATACTGTTAATACTAGGATTGATCGGCTACCGATCACTATCGGCCGATAATCACATTGGGATGTTTGATCGGCGGTCTCTGATCTCAAAAAAACGATCTCAAGCTGACGACGCGCCTGCCGTGAGAGGTTTGGCACGACATGCAGCAGCACCGTCTCAGTCTCTGTCCGGCGCGGGTGAAATAATGCTTAAGTTGAGGTACTCGCCTTTATATCTCTTCATTAAATAACTTATAAAGTAATTTGAAAACCTTGTGTGAGACGTAATTTCACAAACAGCGTGAGTGAATCACCGTGCCGCTCTCTCTCTCTCTCTCTCTCTCTCTCTCTCTCTCTCTCTCTCTCTCTCTCTCTCT